TTAACAAAAAAAAAAAAAAAAAAATGGCGGCCAGAACTAATCTCTACAACCCCAATAAGACTGGATGCCAATCGCAAAGGGGCACGAAGCAGCTCACAAGATCGATCCCTCCATCAATCCCCAGTCGAGTCATCACAAGTCTCTCAAAAATCGCCAACAATCTCCGAAACAATCAGCAGCAGCAGCAGCAGCAGCAAGCTCCAATTGAGCTATCCCTAGATAGTCAATTCTGCCGTAGATGTTAAGCAACGATAAATAAACGAAGACTAATCGACCGCAAAATCACAAGAAATCGACTAAAAATAGTAGTCACGGTGTAAGAGGAACAAACCCTAATTTCAGAGGAAAGAGGGGAAGAGAGAGAGAGCCCTAATTTTGAGTGTTTGAATCGGCGATCGGCGACTAGTCGGCGGGAATGGCAACTGTAGATCTGAGCACGGTGTATGCACGCATGGAGCGTAAGCGTACACAGCTGGGGCAGGTAGTACTCGGTTTGGGTCCCGGAGGAGATTTGCGATCAAGACCCCGTGAATAAATGAGTTTGTAAAATTTTGAAGTAGAACAAATTTTCACTATAAACCCAAATGAAGTTTTAATTACCAAAATCGACCGTTTTTTTTAATTATCAAAATCGACCCGTTTTATGCCACATAGGCTTAATCACGTTTCCTAATTAGTCGGGGTTGCCAACCCCGACTGTTTAGGGCATTACAATTTAGGTTTAAGGCTTCTAATTAGGGTTTAACAACTCCTAAACAGTCGGGGTTGGCAACCCTGACTAATTAGAAAACATGATTAAGCCTACGTGGCATAAAACGGGTCGATTTTAGTAATTTAAAAAAAACGGTCGATTTTGGTAATTAAAAGTTCATTTGGGTCTATAATGAAAATTTGTTCTTTTGAAGTATTTCACCAGCTCAAAAATTCATATCCAGGCATGTCCGGTGGTAAAGTGCACATAACCCTTAAACCCCAAAGTTTATCCATTTATTCATTTTGATACTACAACTTACTTTTTTAACATTTTGATATTCGTAAAGTTTCAGAACTTGTTTCGCTTTGACACCGCTATCTAGATCAGTTTAGATTTTTTTTGTTAGTTTTGTATCAGCGTCTAGCAACCGGGAAATATGCATTTAAATATATTACATGTAAAGACGTGATGCAAAGTTAATAAAATATCTAACTTAAAACATCAGAGTGAAGTTGGATTTCAACGTTGAGGAAATCAAAGTGTCAAAAAAACAAAAAAAAACTTTTAGATGTCAAAAGTGACGAAAGAGGTAAACTTTTGAGGACCGAAGTGTAACTAATAAGCTTTTTGTAAACGAACAGCCGATCCGACCCGAGAAAGGCCCCCGCAGCGCCCGTGATCTTATCTTTTCCCTCGCATTTCTACAGCGCTTCGTTGTCCTCTCGTCCATCACCAGCTAATAGTTTTCTATCCACACCCTCCATTTTCTCACTTACAGTCACACGCTTGTTTGACATTAATAAACGGCGTTAACAAACGAAAGTGGAACAAAACAGCGTGCAATTATCAACTTCGCGTCGTTTCCCCTCCCCAAATCCTCACTCCTCACTCTCACTCTGTTCAAACCCTCAATCCATGGCGTCGGCCATGGCGTCCTCTCGTCTCACACTCTGCTCAACCACTCGCTCGATCCCCTCAACGAAGAAGAAGAGTTCAAAGAATGGCGGCTCAAATCGAGGATCTCCAAGCGAGTTCGCACGGGTTTTAAAGTGCGATCGAGAATTCATCGTCGAGCGCCTTCAATCGATCGGGGACAAAACGCAGCCGCTTCGCGATCGGATCGCGAGGAAGATCGGCGATTTCTTCTGGCTTCGGCATATCGAAGATCCGAAGGCGGTTGAGGAGCCGCTTGTTCCTCCGTCTTTGCCTCCGATTTCGTATCCTCCAGGTTTTATATTTCTTTCTACTTATGGATTCTAGAGTTTTTTTTAGGGTTTTAGAGAAACTGCGTGCAGATTGCAAAAAATAGGGCCTTTTTGCCTATATCCCCCCAAACGCACCTTGTTTGCAACTTACTCCTCGATTCTAGATACTTTCTAATTTACCCTTCAAATCTACCACGTCGAGTTAAAATACGTGAAAAATTTATCACAGGAGCAATATACTCGAAATGGCTTTGGGGAAATCTCAGAATTTTCTCTACCGGGGAGTTGCTAGGGAAAATTATTTTGGGAGAAGATTGGGGGTATTTTAATCCAATGTGCTAGAATTAGGTCCTAAATTAGCAAATATCTGGCTTTTGGGGTAAGTTGCAAATGTGTTTGACTTGGGGGTATATAGGTAAAAACCCTAAGAAATAACATGTTTGAAATCTCGCTTATTGGGTTCTTTAGCTGAACCTATTTAACACCCTAGTGGGAATGGCGGTTATGCAAATCTTTTAGCTTGGATACTTCTATTTTGAAGCCATCTTACACTGTACAATGCACATGCATCACATTTTTTTTTTAAATTTTACTTTGTTTATGGAATTACTCTCTTATGTGTCTGTGTTTCGTGATAAAGTAGGCAATAAAGAGGACACTTTTTACATGCCTTATCAATTTCGGCAAGGGGTCCAAGAATAATTAAATAAGTAGCATATGAATTTTCTAGCACAATTGATTAGATCTAAATATCATTGCATAACAATACTTTCAAAATCGTATTCCCAATCTTATAATGTAGAATTTACACTAGCATTCTTCTTCCCTTTGACCTATTTTTTAGCAAGTTCACCAATACTTTCAATTTCAAGAAAATCGTAACGGTCAGTTAAATAAGAGATATAGTTCTCGAGCTGATCACCGTGATCCATATATAAGATATATCTCAGAAAAATCTTTAGAATCAGCTTATCAAATAAAATTTCCCTTATCAAACAAAGAGAATGAATCAGTGTGACCAATTCATAATTGACCAATATGTGTGACGGGGGGTTTATATTAGAGTTATAAGAGTGTTTAGAATCCTCAAACTCCTTCAGACGGCTGGCTCCATAGATCGCAGTTCTTCACTGCACACGAAATACTCGTGAGAGGCCGGAGTTAGGTTCTTCGGTTGTTCCTTCGACGATCAAGTCAGTGTTTGAGCTTGTGTGGAGAGTATATAATTAGTAAGGAATAAATGCAGAGTTTCAGAGTTACATGAAGCTGACCCTGGTACATCGTGCAGTGACACTTCCTTTTATAGCAGATTTGAAGGGCAAAGAGGTAACTATGGTCGAGTCCAGGCAGGTAGCTGACTCGACAGACAGCTGACAGATGTCGACCGCTAGCGAAGATGGTCATCCAGGTGGCTAGTGCTAAGCGACAGTAGCTGCTTGGTGCTGACGGAGCCTGATACGTTATAAAGGTTTTGGAGACTAGAGCAATGATGACTTTGTCAGAGCAGGTAATGCAATGGCAGTCGGTGCTAGGATTCGAGATAACTAACACCTCTTTAGTTGTCCGGCTGCTAGCAGACAAACACCACCATTTTAGTCAGCTAAACAAGTTATCGACTAATATAGCAGATCAAGTGTGAAGTCTTAAGGGCTCGTCCTGGAGAATAGGTCGACAAGTATCACTTTTTGAGTCGGCCACGTGAGTTGTCAGTCTATGGTGTCGGCTGCAGGAGTGGGAGAATAGGTCGACAAGTATCACTTTTTGAGTCGGCCACGTGAGTTGTCAGTCTATGGTGTCGGCTGCAGGAGTGGATTGAATCGTCTGGGCTTTGATCATGTCTGATCTAGCGCACAGCGGGACACATGTTAGTTTCTCACGTGAGGTTAACACTAGGTTATTTTCAGGCTATAACAATGTGCATTAAATTTAGAATAAAACTCAGCCAATCTTTAGTTAAATTATTTCAATGCAAAATAGAAAATAACAACCAGTTCATAAGTAACCAATATCAACATTAATAGGAAATGTTTTTGGATTTTAGTGTAGTCATTTCTGCAACCAAGTTTCATAATTATATTACTAAAGTTACAGATAAAAAGCACCCTGAATCTATTAAGCCATTAATCCTTCAAATTAGGCAAGAACAAACTAGATAAAAAGAAACTAGGGCAATAAAAATTAGGGAAAATTAGACTAATCTTGTTTAATCAAGTAATGTTGAAGAAAAAGATGTTCTGCTCCTCTTAGTCCCTTAGAGTCTTCGGTTGAGGATCAAGGGCAAAGAGCAACACATAACAAAGAGAATAAGACTTCTCACCGTTTGAACCGATGACCGAGAGTGAAGAACGGAAGAAGAGCGGAAGGGAGAGGATCAAGGGCAAAGAACAACAAATAACAAAGAGAATAAGACTTCTCACCGTTTGAACCGATGATCGAGAGTGAAGAATGGAAGAAGAGCGGAAGGGAGAGGATTGAGGGAGAGCAAAGAAGGGCTGAAGGGCAAGAAGATGCCAAGAAGGACTGACAGAAACATGCATTGAAATAGTTTTATTAAGCTATTTACCAATGCATTTTACCCCTCTTATAAAATAATTATTGCTAAATACCCTACCACTTGGGTTTATTTCTAAATTTTGGGAGTTTTTTGGTGGTGTTAGGGGGTATAGGGCCTCATTTTTGGCCTAATGTGGCTCCGCACCTGCTTATCACTCGCTTGCGTATGTGCACACACATGTCGTGAGTTTCTCTAACAAATAACATGATGAATATTCGTGCTAATCCACACCCTTCATCTTGATGTATTACATCTTGATATATTACTGTAATTGTGAAGACCATAGTGAGTTCATTAGCTCTCTCTAATATGTTATTTTTAGTGTTTAAGGAAATAAAGAAGTTTGCCCCTGACCAATGTGGGACTGAACTACTCTCTCAACACTCACCCTCAAGCTGAGCATACATATCGTACATGCTCTGCTTGTTACAAATAAAATTCATCCCCGTACTCACAAGAAGTTTAGTGAGAATATCTAAAAGTTGATGTTCTGATGGTGTATGTGTTTGATTCTAATGATTCTCTTCTCCATCTTCTCATGAATCAAGTAACAATTAATCTTTATGTGTTTTGCCCTCTCATGAAACACCGAGTTATCATCTATGTAAATGACGGTCTTATTATCCCCATACAAGCTCATGGGACATTTCGGAGGATAACCAATCTATGTTAATATATTTCTAACCCAGATCAGCTCACAAGTCAAATTCGTCATGCCTCGATACTCAGGCTCAGCTGTAGATCGAGAGACTGCACTCATTTTCTTACTCTTCCATGATATTAGATTTCCTTCAAGAAACTCATAATACCCAGTAGTTGATTGTCTGTCCTCAGGAGATCCTACCTAATCTGCATCTGAGAATCCTACAACTCGTGTGACCGCCATCTGAATAGAGTACTTTTTCCCCTGAAGGTTTCTCGAGATACCTAAGAATCTTCTTCACAGCTTCCAAATGAGGTTTCCTAGGTGTCAAGAGAAACTGATCGACTACACTAACAAAAAATATAATATCCGATCTCGTGACTGTTAAGTAGGTTAGTCTCCCTACAAGTTACATGTATTCTGCAGTATCATCTAGTAATTCCCCTTGAGTTGATAATAGTTTGATGTTGTCATCCATAGGTGAGTCAATACCTTTGCATTCTGACTTCCCAGCATTTAGTAACATATCAAGTACATATTTTTTTTCTGAGATAAGACCTCGATCTAGTTACCTCGATAGTCGATACCCAAAAAATATTTTAAGGATCCAAAATTCTTAGTTAGAAATGATTGTTGTAGATGCTTCTTCAAATGACTAATGCCCTGTGCATCATCACCAGAGATCACAATATCATCAACATATATAACAAAAAAGATCCGCTTTTCACCATGAAATCTCCAGAAAACCGAGTGGTCTTTCTGAGCTTGATGAAGACCAAAAGTCTGGATAACTGTTGCAAAACGTCCGAATCAAACCCTCGGAGATTGCTTCAAATCGTAGAGAGATATTTTTAACCTGCAAACCTTGTCACACTCCTCCTGAGCAACAAAACTGTTGGTGTGCTTCATCATTCGATATAAACCCTCCCTGCCACGAGGAATGCTATTAACAAATGCATTCTTAACATCCAACTGATATAGTGGCCAGTGATAGCGAGCAGCAAGCGAATTAAGAAATCAGACAGATGTCATTTTAGCTACAGAAGAGAATATATCGATGTAATCAAGGTCATTGATCTGTGAATACCCTTCGCAATAAGTTAAGCTTTGAGGCGAGCTAGAGAGCCATCTGGATTTATTGTGATAGTATAAACCTATTTGAAGTATAAACCTATTTGCAGCTAACCGCTTTCTTTCTTGGTGGTAGAGAAACAAGATCACAAGTCTCATTTCTCTCTAAGGTTGTCATTTCGTCTTACATTGCCGTGGTCCAATTTGGGTTAGATAAAGCTTCTGACAAATTCTTGAGAACCGAGTGAGAATTTAAAGAAGATATGAATGAGTAATATGATGGAGTTAACAAAGCATAAGAGATATAATGTATAAGAGGATACCGAGAACTCTGAGAATAAGATCTCTTATCATTTTGGAAGGTAATGGGAAGATCATCAGTAGCCTGAGCACTTGGCTGTACGAGCACATTTTGACTTGCTAGTATATTAGGCTCTTCGGTGGATTTAGACGATGACTCAGGTTGCGAAGCAATCCGTCTTGTATAAACTTGAATTGGATCTGCAAATTTGGATGGTAGATCAGTCTGTACAACAGTCTTTGAAGGAACATTGTTAGTGATTTTCCGATCGAGAAGGTAATCATAATCATTATCAAATGCAACATGTCCCGGTTTGTTCTCAAAGAAGGCAACATTAGCGAAAACAATATATTGATTCAAGGATGGACAATAACATCTGTGCCTTTTTTGAGTCCTAGAATATCCAAAAAAATACCCTTAAGAGATCTCAAATCTAATTTCCTCCGTTGAGGACTATGGTTGTGAATAAAGAACATAGACCCAAAAATCTTAGGAGGTATATAAAAAGCGTCTTTGGCCGGATATAAAAGGAAGATTGAAGTTTTATTCTGTAAGACAAATGAGGGTAGTCTATTGATCAGGTAGCAGGTTGTCAAAATGGCATCGTCCCAAACATATTTTTGGAACTTGACGATGGAATAACAATGCCCTAGTAATTTCTAGGAAGTGTTTGTTCTTGCGTTTAACAACCCTATTTTGTGGGGTAAGTACAAGAAGACTGATGTAAAATTCTATTTTCTTTCAAATACTTTATAAAAGATCTTTCAAAATATTTCTTAGCGTTATTTATTCTTAAAGTTTTGATGATACTATAAAATTGATTTTTAACCTCAGCATAGATAATTTTAAAAACAGAGAACACTTCAATACAACTTTTCAGCAGGTAAATCCAAGTCACGCGAGAAAAGTCATCCATAAAACTAACAAAATATTGGAAACCGAGTTTGGATGGAACAGAGCGAAGACCTCATATGTCGGAATGTACTAAATCAAAAGGTTACTGACCCGCTTATTGACACGACTTGGGTAAGACACCCATTGGTGTTTTCCGAGTTGACATGACTCACACTCTAAGGACTCGACATGATTTAAATCTGAAACCAACATTTTAATAATTGAAAGAGGGGGATGACCAAGCCGACAATGTGCTTCCAAGGCTGATGTGGAGCTGATACATACCACTTGGGAAAGGGCAAAGTTCAGTTTGTACAAGCTGTTTCGCTCACGTCCAGTGCCAATTGTCTTTCTCGTCCTGAAAAATACAATGTGTAGGAAGAAATGTTACTGTGCAGTTTAATGCTTTAGTAATTCTACTGATAGAAAAGAGATTAAATGGAAAACGAGAAAGATATAGCACAGGTGAAAGTGAAATAGTATTAACATTGGTAGATCCAACACTCTTCACATGTGTGGTGGATCTATTAGCCAATAGTACTGAAGGAAAGGAGGCGGTAGGTGTACATGACGATAATATATCTCGATTCCCAGTCATATGATCAGTTGCTCCTGAATCTATAACCCAATTATGAGATGATAACGATGACGATGTTTATTTTCCTATAGTTGAGGACAATGAAATTTCGTGTGACTCGGTTCTTTACAGTAATGACAATTGATAAAGGAACTAGATGAACCCTCACTTACAACTCCTAGTAAACTATCACCTTGTCCTCCACGTGCTCCAAAGCGGTCTCCACCACGACCACCCCCTCGACTAGTTGTTTGTCTACTCTGTGTGACAAGAGAGGACCTGTTTGTAGACTCTACGACAGTACTTACTGGTACAGCTGGCATTGCTGATCTCAAAAAGTAGTATGTATTTGCTAAAGAACGTATAGCAGAGCTTCCAATAACCCGTGGTATTGCTGAATTATAAGATTGTGGAAGAGAATTAAGAAAGGTGAATACCATCGGTTGATCCCACTGATCTTGCATCTTCTGAATATCTCCCGTAATGGGAAAATTCCGTCTCAACTCCTTTGTGAGGTGATTGAAGTCGCCATAATGTTCTTTAAAAGTCTTAACTATGTTTGTCCATCTTACTCCGAAATAACTCCTGAATACATCATACGCCTGATTGGCGTGTCCACGGTCTGAGTATAATTGTTCCAAGAATTTCCACTCTTATTTCACTGTATTAAATTGCTAGATGAAGAACATGTGGATCCATGCTGTTCCAAATTTGATGAAGTATACTAGTGTCATCCTATTTCCAGGGGGCAGTAACTAGTGCGGGGGTTCATCTGTAAGATGACGATCCTTTCCCCATCTTGAAATATAAACCTAAACCAGTTGCTTTCAAAGTATGTAACTAAACCAGTTGCTTTCAAAGTATTTAATTTTTGATCAGTGGTCCCGTTGGAGAGCATCTCCATGTGGGTCTTCATCTCAACTCTCTCATCAATCGACATAGCAAATAAGGTCCTTCAACTATCAACATCACTCAACAATAAATTAATTTTCAATAATCAAATCATCAATAGCTAATCACTACAAGTAATTAGTTCACTAAGTAAAACCATCCCGCAAAGTTAGTTTCTGCAATAGAACGTTATCACTTATCTCAAAGAGATTGTTAACGACTGATCATAACATAGAGCTAAATGATTAGCTGAAGATCTGTAAAGATCTAGTCGGTAAGCTAAATGATTAGCTGAAGATTAATAAAGATTTAGTTAGCAAGCTAAATGATTAGCTGACGATCTATAAAAAATCTGGTTGGTAAGTTAAATGATTAGCTGAAGATCTATTAAGATTTAGTTGGTAAGCTAAATGATTAGCTGAAGATTTAGTTTATAAGCCAAATGATTAGCTTAACCTCTTTTTTTAACCGCCGGATGAACAATACTGCTGGATGAATATTACCTGATTAACAGTATTTGGCAAATTAACAATATCAGCTAGGGTTTAATGTTGGTGCATGGCGGCTAGGGTTTGATTTGGGAGGTAGAAGGTGACTGATAGGGTTTAGAAAACTGGAGAGAGAAAAGATAGTGTCTCAGATACCATGTAAAAGACTGGTGTCTCTGATACCATGAAAACCCTAGTGAGTTCATTAGCTCTCTCTACGATGTTATTTAGTGTTTTAAGGAAACAAAGAAGTTTGTCCCTAACAAATGTGGGACTAAATAACTACTCTCTCAACAATTACAACCAAAAGGTCCAAAAGGATGCAATTTATATACCAAACCTTTGGATAGCTATGCGTCATGTTATTTTGTCCATTAATATCCACCGAGGGCCAGCCCCTCTTTTAAACCGTCACCTTCTGTATACTCTTTAATGTCTTCAGTTATGTTCCTTTAGGTTAATTATTTTCGCACAATAACTATCAACAAGTGGTAAATTATGTGTTCAGACAACCTTCCGACGAATAAAACAACTATTTACTATCTGGCAAAACAATTTTCCTTCTAGTAATCGAACAAAATACATTGCTTAATGCATTTTTTTACGAATCTCAGATACACAATTTCATATTCATGGAAATAAATGTATGATGCATAAATCAATATGCACCAGTAATTGGATTATTTCACGCACATTACATATATACATAGCGTTTCACCTAGACAATTCTTTGTGGAGTTACCGTATTCCTTTTAGTGCAACAATTGTTATGTCTTTGACCTATAATGTTGTTGACTTATTTATTCTTATCCAGGGCTGTCTGTGATAGACTTGTTGATGGCTGATCTTGAAGCTCTGAAGGTGTATGCTAATTATTTAAGACACGTCTCTCAAGTTTTGTCCATGCCTCTACCTGAGGTTTATGACCAACAGAGAGTAGCTATCTATTTCAGTTGCCGTCCTCATGTTCTCATGTTTAGGATGCTTGAGGTACTTGAAATGTTACCTTGATATCATTGGCTTGCTTGAATCATTCATGCTGATTTTGAAAGTTATTACAATTAATAAAGATGGTTTATGGATTTATGATTAATTCTTACATTACTTTTTGAAAATGGTCATCAACATATGATTTCTTAACCTTTTCTGTGATAATATTAGTGCCCTATCTTACTGCAATTCTAAAGGTCATGAAAGTGTATTACTACTTTTTGAAAATGGTCATCAACATGTGACTTCTTTGTCTACCTATGGTGGATATTAGATGAGAAAGATTTTATTTTTCT